CCCTGAAACGCAGCGATCGCGCGGCATGTCACAGCCGAAAATAATCCTTTTTTTTTTTCTTTTTGTTTCTGACGGACGCATCCTATCAGGAACGGGAGGTAGACGGGCGCTACTGCTCCCATGTTTCCTCTTCTGATCGCGCTCATCTGCGTGTCTCTGGCTTCTACCAGCACGAGAGGTTGAACATGCTGAAGTGGTGTGATGTTCAGAGTTCCATCAGAGAAAGTCTCTGCATTCCAAGTCTCCCCCCATCGCTTGGAGAAATCGTCGCGAAGGAAAGATCTTCGAGGAGGTCATTCAGGCAGATTCCGGACCAAGGGTGGACACGCGCTACTCGTCTTACGCACAGTACTATGAGAACCAGACTAAAAAAAAAAAATTTAAAAAAAATAAAAAGAAAAAGAAAAAGAAAAAGAGAGAGAGGTATCTGATTTCAGATTGCAGGGGTTGGTTGTGCTTACGCTCCATCACTATTATTATTGCAATTTGCTATCACCCTCCGTACTTCGCTACGCCCGAGCACTCGACACGATTGCTGTTTTAATTTTCTATCAACCATTGCCCTTGCACTTTGCTCATACTCATTGAATGGTGCCAGCGACTGCCGAGGAGATGCTCGTGGGCGGAGACAAGAGGGGGAAAATGGAGGAGAAAGAGCTGCGATGCGGCTTCAACCATTCATCGCCGATGGAGACTGGGTTAAACTAGTGTATGGTATGGAGACGGTGGAGAAGAGCGGAGACACACAGTCGCATTTTGTCCAGAGGGCTGCTTCCAGTGTTAAATTGCGAGCTAAAGATAAGATAATCTAGATCTGGATCGGTTCAGCGACTTTTATTACTGTTCCTTTGCAGCGGTGATATCGCGCAGTGATAAGAGCGAGCGACACATTTGGCTGTGACAGAATAATACGCCGTGGATATGGGACTGGCGTTTTTGTCCAATTTTTTCTCTTGCTAAAACATTTGATGGATTTGCGAAAAATCCCGAGTTAAACGGGGCCCGCGGTGCAAGGGAAGCAAAGCGCGTTGCTGAGGAATGAGGGGAGAGAGATATAGATCCGTGCTAACGACGACCTTTGCTCGATTTTGGCTTTTGTCCTATTTTTTTTTCCCGTATGCCATAGTTCATATCTCTAATCTCGAGGTATCTGGCTTCTAGCATATTCCTGGAAGTTATCCCCAAGAACCACAAACCTGGATCACATTAACTCATGCGTTGACTTCGGCCCGCTATGAACCCTTTCTTGACAAGGCATGGAACAGCATTCCGCCTTTCGTATCCCTGGATGAATGTGTGAACTTTAATCGAACTACTTCGGATTATTAGCCACATCCGGGCAGGGAGGACAACCAAATATTCAATATGTAGCGTACATGGGACGGACAGATTCAAGCCTGCTCTGAGTGTGTGATTATTGTGTTTTCAGCTGCCGCTGTTGCTTTTAGAGCATCTCAATAAAGCATACATCCTCCGTCTTCGTTGCTACGCAGCGTACTATGTACTTGTGCAAACATGCAATAATAACTATAGTTGGAGTCGAAGAAACAAACGCGCTTGGCAAAATGCAAAGGAAAAGCCAAGGAAAAAGAAAAGCAAAGAAAAAAGCCGTTCAGCACTCGCATCATCCCATCCATCCCATCCCCAAGGACCCCCAACCCCCTTCCATCCAACCATTCGACACACCCTGTGCAGCGGCATGGGAGGCCCGCAAGCAAGCAGGAAAGTTTCCTTTCGGTGCGGCTAGTTACAGGGGATCTCCTGCTAGGCTGCTTCTTCTTCCCCAGCACGTACCCGTCAATATCCACAGTACCACGGAATTAACCCGAATTCCAAGTCCCATTCAGATTTCCCATTGCAGTTTAAAATAACTAGTTGACTGGACGATGCAAAGAATTCCGAAAAGAAGCAGAGAAGAGAGAAAGGAAACGGCTTTCCAAAAAGCCCCGTCATTCATTCACTTTCAACATATGAAACAAGATTGCCCGCCCATTATCGTTTTTCGAGTCATGACATCGCACCAGAGGTTCGACTGTACCCGCTCCCCGTAACTACTCGTACGGAGCATGTGCTCAGAAGAGCGACTCCGTCGGCTGCAATTCTGATACGTGATGGGTGCCGCCGCCACAACATCCGAACAAAAAAAAATAAAAATAAAAATAAAAATAAAAATAAAAATAAAAATAAAAATAAAACAAAATGGAGGTTGTTCAAACACAGTCCACGGTGGCCACATGCATTTCCAAAACAAAACAGAAGGTTTATCTTAACGTTGGTTTACTGGCCAGGTCGCAGCCGAAGAGTCATACATTAACAAAAAGCTAATAAAAGCTCAAAAATGATCAGTCCATTGTTCGTAGCTGAGCTGCCTGCTAAGGATGGATGCTGGCTGTCAATCTAACGTCATCATATCTCAGAATATCTTTAAAAAGACAAAAAAGCCCGCTATAAAACAACTTCCGGGTGGCCAAGGACTGGTTTAAACTTGAGCCTATGCAAGTTGCGCCCCCGGTGATACTTCCCGCTTTTATGCCGCCCGTCATCCAGTATCATCATGATTCTTGCCGTCAATCTCCACGGTAAAACGAGGAACAAAGGACCTGGATTCTTGAACTCTCGGTGTTTATCAAATCGTCAACATCGGTCGCCGTCCCCCGGCCCAAGACTCGCTACTGGCAAAGTAAGTATGTTTGACATCCATGGCCGATCATGCGATGCGAACCGTCTCGTCTTAGCCGCGGATGTACTTCCTTAGTCAACCTAGCCTCAGCTTTTTCAGCCAGGACGGGGGGTGCATCCACAGTGATGGCCAATTACAGGACATATGTCCAGTTCTCTCTGGAAGTCGATCCAAGCCGGGAAGCTCAGCCCTCGTTTATCGGAGAAATAAAACAATGGCGTGATTGCAACTTTGAGCGACAATACGGAGTAATGAGAACGGTTTGATTTTATAATAATTTTGTTCCTTTTCGTCGAGATACGGGGGGGGCCTGATAAGGTTGGCACCCTCACCAGCGTGCGCAAGTTTTCGCTGTCCTTAGTACGGAGTAGAAGAAACATTCTTGGGGCGTGGCATATCACAACCTCAATCCCTACCCCCCTTCCCGCCCAACGAAGCGGGATCACCATATACCCACGCACCACACTTCCGTTCCCAAAAATAGCGACGACTTTTGTCCTCGCCCTCCCTAGTTAGCGTCAGTAAGGAAAAAGAAAATCCGAACTGCAAAAAACGGGCCCCATATGCAACACCGACCAATCTATGCCTAATCCGGGACCTTTCCAAGCCTTCGATGTGCCCCCACGGTGCTACCGCTGACAAGTTACACCGCGAATCTGACGACTCCTGCCTCACGAAGACCCTCAGGTAGCAGTGCGTGGCGCTCCCGACCCCCCCAAAGTAATCCGAAACGCCTTTTGTTCAGCCAGTTCAAGCCTTGGGTTCATACATAGTAACAATAATGGAACATACATATCAACTAAAAAACTAAACAGCAGGCCAGAATACTCCTCCCGAACTGGGTAAGATGAGAGATGGAGATCAGGAAAAAAGGGTCGCAAATGTTGCGGAGTATGTTAGATTCTGGAACCCAGAAAAATAACTACGCCTGCTGTGGAGATGTGATTGGCGAGGCGAGCTTCTCAGGGAAGCACGCTGATATCCCATATTTCCTCGACCGCAGCCAGGCCAGGCCCTGTGTTTGATTTATCTCCGAAAATCACTCCGAAGGGGAAACCCCAAACAAAACAAAGACGCGCGAACGACGCGACGCAAAAAAAGAAAACGTTAGGAAAAAAGAAAGGAAAGCGGGAGAATTACGGCGTAGTACAGATACGCCTGGACCAGGCCTTTCTTAGTCTTGGATCCAACGCGGGGGCACATCTGCCCAGTAGTGTCCAGCGAGCCCGCATGGCATGGATGCGAAAGCGAGGATGGAACGGAGACAAAAATTCCCTACATTCCATACTCAAACACCGGTTAAGTGTCCGTATCCATTATGATTTGTTTGCCCATAATAATCATCATCATAAGAGATAGAAATAAGAAATAAGGCGTAGGCGAAACAATGGATCTCTCATCCGATCTGAACTTCCTGTACCCGCCCAAAAGGCCTACGCACTACAGGTAACGATGGGAAAAAGATAAATAAATAAATAAAAAGGGGGGGGAAAAGAATCAGGGCAAACCCGAACTTCAAACAAGAACCATATCCACCATCGCATTATCGTTTTTGCGCGCTGGTCGATAGACGGAGGCGGGCGTACTGCGTGCGGGCATTTTGTCATGGGGCGGGATGGCTTTACACAGGTAGTGAAAATAATTGTAGGGAATTGATTCCACCTTTCCCCCCCCATCCAACCCAACGGCCCACCGTCCGGTTTTGTATGTACGCAGCGTATGTACGGCGGGCGCGGGGCCTCCAACAAGCGTCTAGCTACTCTACTAGCCCTACTTTCTCTATCAAAGCAAGCATTCATTCTAAGCATATCTTTAAGCAATTTTTACCTATGACAGGGATCGTGGTGGGTGCCGGGGGGGCAGAGGAGTAGGTAGTGGGAATTGAAGACAACACGAACGAAAGAGGATCTTTTTGATATTCAGAAGGTTGTTTACATTTTCGTGAATAATAATTAAGTTGGTTTGCTAAATAGCAATTGAGAGACATGGGCTAGAAGGATAAGAAGTTATACACGGCGGCTCTATTCCGTCGTGTTTTGGAGGGGAGTTGAGTTAGAAAAAAAAAACAATCACTTTACATCACTAATCACTGAGAGGTCACATCTCAAAATCCAGACTTTTTTGGAGGGGAAGGGGGAGATGGTTCTGAACTTGAAGCAAAATGTCATCATTACCCTAGTTCGGTACGCCCGCTTCCGAGTGGAGGTGAAAATACATATAACTTATATGTTTATTTTTAATGGCAGATGGCCGTAGGACTAACATTCGTTCTTCCCAGCGCAAAACAGCATCTACATAACAACAGCCCGAACTCAAGAACAACAATGTGAAAAGTAAGGGAGATTCCCAAAAATTAGCCAAGTGGAAAGAAGCTTGAATGAACAAACAAAAAAGAAAGTTTTTTGTCAGAGCTCGTTTCCATTCGCCTATCATGACAATAATTATTTGGTGGTGGTCTCGTATCCCACTCTTCTTGCTCAGCCCACACCGGCCGGACACAAATTAAGCGCTGCTTTTACGGTACAGAGCACTATTGTGGCTGCAAGTAGGTTTTCGCGTTTTGGGAACAGTCAACAACAAGAGCACTCGTTGAATATCGTTTTTACCATGTGTTGATGAGGGAGGTGACGCTAAACAGTCGGACAGAAACAGCGCTCATTGTTGGAGCAGCGGCTTGGGAAGCTGAAACAAGAAGAAAAATAATATCCAAGCCCTGCATCATCGATTCCGGGGAAAACTGCGTATCGAGAGCTCCCAGGCCCCATATAAATCCCTGGTGCTCTCGATCACCAGGATTATGGACCAGCAGCCACCGCGTCTCTCGCGCTTCTCTTGCACAAGATCCATGCACACCCTGCAACTTCAGGTTTAGGCTCAGCAGGGAAGAGAAGCTTCTTCAGGGAATACAAGGCCAACCACACATCCGATATGCTGTTTCTCCGAGCTTCATTCACCTTTCAAAGAAGCTCATGAAGGCCCGAGAAAAAGCATTCTCTCAAAACGCCCAGAATCCACACCTTCGTCCACCACTGAAGTAAGGTGCACACGTCCGTATCGGCTAATATCTCCTTGGACGGGGATATTCCGCGTCGTGTCCTTGGCCAGCGATATACTAAATGGGCAAGGGCGCGAGAATTATCGATTTTTTTTATTTTTTTATTTCTTTTTTCGACAGTGCCGTTAGCTCGCTGCCTTGGTTCTGTTCCCGGAAGTTATGCACGCCACAAAGCCACCATGTGAGAAGTGGGGTCTGGAGGTTGGAATTGGCGCGCTTTTTTACCCAACCATGGGGCCGATGGCGTGGACCGACCGTCATGAATATCGGAGCCTGAAACAAGCTCAAGAGCGAAACGCAGAGCAGCTCTGTCGGAGGAAGGAATTGACGTTAGTCTGTGAATTGAAACTCAGGGTTAGTTACTATAGTCACATGTTTGTTTATATTTTTAACCGAGTACAATATGCACAGGTACTGTACAACGAATCAGCGATACTTTAGAGCGAGCGGGTATTTACATAACTCATAACTCCGACGGAAACTCACAAAATAAATAAATAAAAAAAAAAAAAAAAAAAAAAAAAAAAAAAAAAAAAAACCAACAGGAAGTTCAAAGCGTTAGGTCCGTCGGATTTTGCGCGAAGCGCACTCCTCGCGAACACGTGCAAGCAGGATGTTGGTCTGTAAGGTATCCACTCAGTCCATCATACTCCGTATTGACTAACGAAGAGAGGAATGATAGCTTATTTACGCCGCGATGTACTCTGTACCGTACCAGGGTGGTGAATTATAAGCTTTGCAGAGTCCTTGAAACACCATTAATTACCCGCAAGGGCCCGCAACGGCTCAACAGGAAGAAATGGGCGTGTAACGTAACGCCTTGTGCGAATCCATTTCCCTCCCTTTTTGCGTTATTATAGGTGGCTGTGGAACTGATACCACCAAAGATAACAGATTCTGTTTGTAATTGTTCTATGTTGACTCATCGGCATTTCACCAGATTCAAGGGTGTATTTCGCCCCCCACCTCCATCGACTTGTGCGAGGGGCCATAGAGTCTGGCTGGGGTGCCTAAGGTTGGGGTCCCTCCTGGACGTTAGGGGCTCCATCCCCCGAAATTAGTGGGCAGAAGCTCAATAATCCTGTCTAAGCTAGGGGGGGGGGGGGGGTTGAGCTCCCCGGATCGACCCTAAGAATCTGGAGAATCCCTCCCTTGGTTGGTATGTGCGCTGAGAAAGCACACGCTTGTACTCCCTTCTTCGTCCCATCCCTGTGATCCGCAACATGGAAGCATGTTCACCAAAACGGCGAAACCGGGGTCGCAATCGGTACAGTTGGAACTGTGCAAGGAAATAGGTTACTTGGTCGGCAATTTTCCATCTCAAGTCCTTGAAACCACGAGCTTTGTCGTCTGAGACTAGCCCCTTTGTTGCAGTAGGGACAAAATCCAGTGGCATATTTTAATCCGGAAAAGTCACCTCATCCGCCCCATAATCAGCATTGAAAATGAACGTCGCTGTAATGCTTACTGCCACGCCCTTCAAAATTTTCTGAGCACCAACCCAGTTTGTCCAAGAAGGCGTGAAGGAAAACGAATTGATCATCTTTGCTGACCAGTAAAATTCCCACAGCCGTTTACAAGCTTGCCCACTCTTACGTCCGAGCGGGAAATGATCTTGATTGATAGCTAGCCGGCAATTATTCTTCCCAGCGTTGCATCGCAATGAAACGCCCCGGTGGCCGAATGGTTAATGCGGCCACCCGGTAGCACCTTGGCGTGGGAAACCAAGGCGCGTGGGTTCGAAACCCGCAGGGGATACATTAAATCCGGAACTCAAGCACCTCAGGTTCCTAATAAATACAGAGGTGTACAAATCGCTCCAATGAATTGCTCTATGTTCCTGGGCTGGGAAGTTATTATCGCATGTATCTAATTGTCACTCCTTTGTATTTTCCTATGTTCTTGTTATCTTGGCGTGGTCTCAACACCTGTATTTCCTCCTGTATAACCAACACTTGACCTGTATTTAACATCACGCAAGGACTCATCATAAGCTCCGCTTGCATATGAGTATAATGGAAGAATAATAATAATAATAATAATAATAATCGCAATGAAACATGACGACCGCTGAGCTCATTTTGATGATGACTTCGAAATCGCTAGCCAACCTGTCCCCCCACCAACTTTCGCGACTCTTGAGTCTTGCGTTGATTGGCTTGGCCAGAGGTATCCTTGCCAAAATCTTGTGAATAAATAGCCGGTTGATGGAGCCAGTCCCTCTCAAAGGGCGCTAGACATGGTTCTATATTAAGCGCTAAACTGGAACAGAATTCCAACCCTAGTGCTGATCAATGACAATGACAGTTTCTCATCGAGTGAGGCGCAATCCGATTCTTGTCTTTTCTTTTCTCGATTTAGCAGCGGGAAGAATAGAGGGAGAAAAAGGGAGGGGAGAGTGTTTCGAAAAACTCTAGCGTGGATGGCGGCCTCGGGTAAAAAACTTGCCGTTGAACCGAGAAGACAATCAATCAGATTGAAGAGATCGTCGAGTGGCCCATTCCTGGAATCCGTGGAATCAGTTAAGGAATGGCTCCTTTTAGTCGTTATCTGGGAAGGTAGTTCGGGAGTGTGAGGGATTTTGCAACCTCTCGTTGACGATTGTTGCAGGTACGCGAACCTTGTTATTGCCTTCTGAGAATAGTTTGAATCGAAAGAGCCCATGCAGTCCACTGAAATTTCGAAGCCAGAAATTATCAATACGAACGCAAAGCGATCTTCTTTTTATGGGTTCTAACTGTAAAAGGGGAGCCACAATTCTTGCTTGATCTCATCTCAGAGATGACTCAAAAATCTCCCAATTTTGCTCATGAATGAAAAGAGAGAAAATGTGTGAACGGACAATCTTCTCCTTTGCTCTCCCTTCCCATTGATTGACCTAGGCCAGAGAAGGAGGGCGACCGCTTCCCAAGCAGGTCACAAAACCAACTGGACGCTGGACGAATCAAACTGTGCATGGACAAGCAGGCGAACTGCCGGGCCAGCGCCTCCCAACAAGTACCGGATGCGCCAAGTGAGAATTCTGAAACTCGAAGCGGGCGTGGCCACAAAACACGCGAGCACTGAGTCGTTGTGGGCTCAGTAAGGCTGGGCTCGCACTGGTTGGTCTCCCCGCTTCCGTCAACATTCCAGAATCAGTCCGTCATCACTCAAGCACGGGTTCTTTCATCCCTGACTACTCCGTACGCCAAACAACAATCGCTGCCTTTCCAGGTCAGGTCCATTCTTAAAACTGTTTTAAATCAGCATGGGTCCATCACTGAGCCACTTCTCATCCTCCAGCGTGGCAAGATACAGAGGGAAAAAAAAAAAAATCCTCGCCCAATCGGAGAGTTTTTTCGACTGAAAGGCCGCGGCGGTGGTGCCAACTATGGCGATCAACACCAGCCAAGTTCTCAAACTTGGCATGAACGAAAAAATTGGCTTCGTTGTCTTTTTCTTTTTCTTTTTTTTCCCCCCTTCTTTTGTTTTTGCTTCTTTTGTTTTTGATTCTTTGCAGCCGCCGACCCATAACGTCTCGGCCATTTTCCCGCTGATCCCTGTCAAGTTACGTTGTGGAAATATCTTATCTTATGGGCAGGAAAACTTGAAGAGCTTTGAATCCGGGTGGTTGCCAACCCACCTCCAAACCAAGCTGGGGAGTTTTCCTCCAGCTCTCCGGGCTCTCCCTCATTATTGGTGCAAGAGAAGTAATTCCGAGGATTTTGTTAAATCACGTTTATGGAAGTGGTCAGAGGAATCTGGCACGCCAAAAAAAATAAAAATAAGCTTCGAGTGTAATGATGCGAAGCAAAATACAAACCAACAATTAACCAGACATGCGTCTTCACTCTGACCCTCATCATTTCTCCATCTGCCTTGGTTGGCTTGAGTTTCGATTCCCTGACATAAAAGGAACAAGGATCAGGGGCCATGACTCGCATAACAAAAGATTCTTTTAGTGCTGATCATGGATGTGATAGACAGAGCGGCGGGAGAGAAAGTGAGCATCAAGAATTATTAATGCTTTTTAACACTCGCAACAATGAAAATGATGCAAGACTATACACCCGTCGCATATTTCCCTTCATTACTGGCTAAGAGTTGGGCTTCGGGGGTTCCAACTCTTGATATGCAGAGATGTTGGAAACGCATGAAACACTAGTTACTGACTAGATTCTAGGCAAAGGCTGAGAATACTACTGTTAAGGTCATTGACGCATTGTTGAGAATAATTCTAAAAATAATTGCAGCTACTAACTATCAGCCAGTGTGTCTTCACCTCCAGCTTCCTGTGTTCATGAGATCTCCAATTTTTTACAAACAATGCCGAAATATAGTTACTGAAATATAGTTACCACAATATAGAGAAGGGCGTTAGTGAGGCCGCTGAGAAGAAGGCCGAGGCAGAGGTATATATTTCTCTTCAATATCATTAATTTACAATGTTGATTCCACATTTGCCCACCTTGTGGGGTTTCCTGACTGCACCAACATCGTATTGCACCGTTCAGACAGCATATAGGACTGAAACTCCAACTCGCAGACTCCCGCCTATTCTCTCCCCATCATTCATAACACTACTTCGTACGCACGAGATATGTACCACCACCAGATTGCTCAACCCGAGGTTCATTTTCCTCAGGAAATGCTCACTTGTACATACCTGGATTTGAATACGCTGGACTCTTGTGCCACGCACTAATTCCATTATTATTATTCTTTAGCGAGTGGTAAGTAAACAATCCATCCGCCCGTCTAACGTTGTGCAAAACATGGCTTTTCTGCCAAACAGGGCTTATTCTTGGAGAAACATGATTTAAAATTGGAACAATTTGCGAGCAAATCCTTCGCCAAATGGATGCACGACCTCCAATCATCTGAGGGTAATATATGGGCCATCTTTTTGATGTAAAATGTTTCCACACCATCTCAGTCTCAGGAAGTGGGTGCTCTAATTACACCCTTCAAGTCCCATTTTGAACCGTTTCCAACTGCGGAAAAGCGGGCAAAACTTCGCTGCGCTAGCAGCTGGATGAAACCATGTTCTCCAGGCTGCAGGAGGACGATACGGCAGCTGGATGGATGGCGCAATGGGGCGAAAATATGGACGCAGGGCTGGCGGGTGGAAATAAGCTCGAGGAATTAGAAAAGCAATTATGGGAGAGCCGTCATCGTCCCCCCCGCTGTTGCGCTTCTGATTCGACGGTCAGAAGCGGCTGGTCTGCTAGGCTTCTCTAGCGTGCATCCCTTAGGTTACATGGGTTGGGCAAAAGATGACCGCACGCAAATTGGATAGATGGGCTTCTGGCGAACGAGAGCTGCCAAGTCACTTTTGCGCAGTCTTGGCCTAGGTTCGGAACGACTTAACTAAAATCCCTGACTACCCGCTGATTCCTTGTCCGACGCTAGCTCGGGCCACTTTACACCTCGATCCTCCAAGCGACTACTACCGACTCGGGTTTTCCTGGATCTGACAGAAGAGAGAGATGCACGTTTACTACTTGCGTTCATCTGTCTGGGACTGGGCATTGAAGGAAGAGCCTCAGATAAAATAGTGCCACGGACGGAGGGAAAATGAGAATCGCCCTTCTCGATTTCCCATTTATTTTACAAAAGAGGACGGTTATTTTGTCTTCAACTGATATCACAATAGTGTTTGCAAGGCAGGTTTGAAGTACGGAGTACGAGAGCATGCACACTACTGCAACATACCAGTAGTAGTCGCGTCGCTCTTTAGTCGCCGGAAAAGGGCGGAATCGCCCTGCATCTTGTGGGAGGCTAGAACAACTTGACGAGGCGCGACGGGAAAATAGCTGTTGGCCCTTCATATGCGCAGCTTCCCAATCCGCAGCTCGTCAGCCAACCCGGCCCTTTGAACAACAAGATATCATATGAGAATGAAAGGTTTCACTCCCATTCCTGGCGCCCGAAAGAGATGCAGCATTTAATCTCCAGCCGAGGTGCACATTGGTTTGCCTGAGCCACTGTTCTCTCGATGCCTTTCTCTGATCTCTCTCGGGTCGCTGCCGCGCATGAAAAAGTGTCTCTCAAATTTTCCTCGAGGCGTTCTTCGAGGTGTCTCTATCTAAGGCGCACCAGCAAATTATATTATGGTCTTTGATCCACCAAGCTGGGTATTCATTCAAAATACTCAGCTTACATTTACTAAAATGATATTTTCCCCCTCACCGCAATAATGGATAAAAAGCACTGTTTGATAGCATTATTAGTTCGTGTGCTGCATTCAGCTCTGCAAGCCAACGCACGGAATCATACCAATGGCGGCATTCGTGGAATTGTCTCAAATGCCCAGCGTGGAGAATTTTCACATGCATAATGGTCCAATTGCTTTCTTCTCCTACTTGCATATATAAACAACATGCATTTTATCAGTTACGCATTTCGAATATATTTCCGCTCTCCCTCCAGCGGAGAGACGACGCATTGCCGCTGCTGGTGATCTTTGTGTTAGCGTGGCACGATCAACCTCTTCACGTTGGGGATGTCTGGATAATGATTATGAGAACAAAAAATTCAGATGCAACACTATCTATCATACGGCCAATTTTTTTGATCCCCATTTCACTCCCCCGCATCCCATTATGTAGAATAAGTGTCGCCTACCTGAGGCACAAGTTATACAGTACGTAGACGTCATGCGTTCTGCGGTGTATATTTCAAGGGCCCATCTCATCCCACATCGTTTGGATAGATATAGATATTTGTCACACCTGCTGTGCAATTTTACAGAGTCCCTGTGTACTGGTGATATATGGATGACTTAGTGCTTAACTACCTAGACATTTACAGTAGAGGTAGTTACTGTGCATGCTGTACGCAGCGTATGTCTCGTTGTGTCGACCTTCACCCCTTGGCCAGCTGAAGCCCCCGGATTAGATTGTAAGCTTCCAAGGATCGGCATATAAATGATCATAATTAATACCACATCCCTCTATATGATGAAATTGAAGGCTTTTTGCTGTTCTTTTGTTGTTCTTTGGTGTCGCTCTGTGGAATAAATCATACGGTTATCTGCATAAGTGGCTCCATTCTTTTTTTTCTTTTTCTTTTTCCCTACCGAGGTCTACGCACAGCTGCATCATAATCTGCATATCCATTCAAACTATGAGGAATAAAATATGCAAATAACACCCGTTAAGACACTGCCAGTATCTTACAATGAGGTATGCATTGAGCTTAAGCTGGATAGCCACTGTCACCAAGATGTTCTTCCAACATGAGTAGCGTTCGGTCCAGCCACGTTGATGCCAAAGGACGGTATCTGATCTGGGCTGAACATGGATTCCCCCTCGTTTCTTTTCAAGGGGCTTTTATCTGAGCTACTATGAGCTGGGAAATTATATCCACCCTTGCTTCCACGCGACTATCCCCGAGGATTCATGCTTTAGCACAAGCATATGCATATGCCTTCGATTCACGGACGAACTGTACTAGATACACGAGGACCGAAATTCCTGACCTTGCACCTCACATTGAGTTATTCATAGTAGAATATTGATTGAGTTGTCCTCTATTCCCGATAGTTGAAATCCCTTAATTGAATAACCTCTTTTTAAGCAGAGCTGCAGTACAGTTTGACCAAGTACTGGGATAGCTGGCTAGTGGAAGAGGGTATGGGAAGTGGAAGCTATGGGGCTGAACAACCCAGGGATGTTTTGGCTCATAGATCTTCCAGGGATAAAAGCAGGAGTTAAAAAGTTAAAAATAGGGCGCCTTCTTCGATATCGAACGGATTACTCCGGTACATTGGTAGTAATATGATATGTAATAGTGTTGCGCATATATACTCAAAAAGCGAGGCTCTGGAGGCGGTAAATAGAACATGTTTCGGGGTGGTTACATGTCCAACTCCAGGTGCAAATTTAGCTATGAAATAAATCTGAAATTTGATACACACATGTAGATTTATATATATGACAATATTTGGACAGTCTCTACTTGACTCAGGTGCTCAAGTTGACGGACCGACCCATCTTCAAGTAGTTAAAGGACACCGCAAGCGTTGCCTGCGATGATGCCTACGAGCCGCAATCAACATCCGTAGGATATCTATGCGCAGACTGTACTCTTTCACATCTAAGGGTGCAAGATAAGCGTTATCAACACCAATAGGAAGAAGGCATTTAGAACGCCATGATATCGAAGGACTTTTCGTATCTTTTTAGGGCTTATAGAATCACGTGAGCGATAATAAGACCGTTGACTTCAACGCATCCCTGCTAAAAACATCAACGCATGAACTGATCCCACCACGTACTGCTGCCTTCCCACTTTATCATGATGTGGAAATATGAGTTACAGTGCATTGATAAGCAACATCCTGCAAAACTCTAGGAAACTATCCTCGCAGGAACCCGATGCGCCTGAGACCTTTGCCTCGCGAATGAGCGTCACAACAGCACATATTTTTTTCGATATACCTAGTTATGATACAGCAGACATCGAGAAAGTGAAGTTGCTGGCCAATAAAGGCGCTAAAGGAGTCAGGATTTTATATACACCATGTCAATAACAGTGGCAAGGCGTATGAATCAAAGAACATGGTTATCTGCGGCAGCGGTTTCGATCGAAAATCAGAATGTTGAAAAATGAAAGATAACAGATAATAATCGTTATCAATACTACAAGTGAATAGCCTGATTCTCTTGTTATGGAAGCTTGGACAAGGTGGCATTTTTAGGAAACATTCCCCCAGAATCCTGCGCGGGCGTTAACAATTTGGAAGCAAGTGGCCAGAAGGAAAACGGCGCCTCCCGTATAGCTCAGGGACTCCAAAAAAAGGTCTTTTTTACACGACGAACGACCAGCAAGGGATTCTGATGCTACCCTGCACTTGATTTTCAAATCTGCAAACCCCATGAGGCATTGGCACCCTCGCCACATCTTACCACTTGTCTCATGCCTCGATGTAATGACCTCTTGGCTTTAAGGAGGATTCGTTCATATGCGCCATGAGCTTGTACGCATGAGGGCTGAGAAGTTCCTTGTGGGCGTACGTACTCATGAAGGACGCGGAACGACGATATTCTCGTGCGAATATTTGCGGGCTACGTGGAAAAGAGAGGTCATAGCAACAAGCCACATTGCATGGGAAAGCCAAAATTGCCCACGAATCAGATCGCAGCTGTTTGTGTGTATGGAAAAGGGCTGGGTAGCGAATACCATCGCGAGTTCCCCCTTGAAAGGTAAGTGCCGTGAGCGGATGTGGGATGGATTAATATCAGCCAGCTTCCCACATGAAGTCGTCGATTGGTTACTGGGGAAATTGTGCCGTCAGATATTGCGCTATCTAGAAACGGCGAGAGGAACTCGTTATTGGTTAGTTGCTCTCATCTGCGACGTGTATTTCCTTGCTCAGCAGACATGATTACGGCCCAATCTCTCGCAGTCGGAGGCGAAATATGGCTGTGATCATCTTCCCGAGGGCAAGAACCGGCCTGTACAAGTTGTCGATCTTATTGAGAAGCCTTTTTTAAAAGCTCAGGCCTTATTATTGTTCAGAAAGCGCAACATTTCCAAAAAAATGCTCCGCATAGAAGCCTTCGGTGATTTGTTAATTCTTCAGCTAGGTTAGCGACCGAAGCAGCATCTGATTTTCCCCCCTCTTACGCACACATACGGAGCACAGATTATTGAATACAGCCGTTGAGTTTGAACTGTTGTGCTGCGCTTTCTGTTCGCAATTCAGACCTTTCGGCTTATAATTTGCCCAGCCGCCCCAGGAATGGCCATGTTCATTTGAATCTTTGTTATGAAGGAAATCGAATCATGAGACCGTTGTACAGAGGGTAGCATTGACCTTGGTCCTGAGGGAAAAGTTTTAATCTTGACCTGTCTTGATGTGGTCTGCCTGAGAATCATGGGTGCCAATATAGTCTGTATCCATCCTGCATCTACTGAATACACCGCCCCGCCCTTTCATTTTATTTTCCCTTCTAAAAAGCAATACTGAAAAAATGAATACCTCCTATATCCACTACCTCCATACTTTGTACATGTACCTAAAGAGGTATTGAACGTCCTTGCGACATACGCAAGACAGGTTTGGTATGGCTATTCTCGCCATTTGGTCTTCGTAATTGGAACCTACCCAGTTCTAACCACTGGAGTGACGTGCCTGGCTGAGTTACATGAGTTAACTTCACCATAAACTATTCTCCAACGAGGAAATGGGCAGCGGAAAAAGTCAGTGCTGATCATAGTGGACTAAAAACGGAGAGTTAACCACATTTGAAAGATTATCAAATGAAGGGAGGAGCTTACTGGATCTTACACCCACGAGACGGACTGGCAAGTGGAAGAGGAATAATCACTCCTACTCTTCTTATTGCCAGAAGTTGCATGTTAGTGGCAAGTAGGTGTAGAAGTTACGTTACGTTACATTATCGAGAAATTAGCCCTAACTCTATGCAGTGCATTAAGTAGTGTGATTTTAGAATTGGGACGATCAAACATTCGGCTCTGTGGTCATCGTTCATCGGCACGTATTCAATAGCGATATTTATTCGTTAGGGCAAGACTGGCTTGTCAGGGCGCGAGTCCGGCCGACGGGAATTATATAGGTGGGGGTTGGTGGGAACGAAGTTTGGAAAGCAATCCAAGCTCGTCATGCACGCATATCCCCTCTGCGGGGAGGCCGCACGATTGTAACAGGGATTATGGAAGTTAGGGTCCTTTCTAAGATGGTGTAATTCGTAAGAACTAGCCAAATTACATCCCTTGTGAACCGATGTGACATATCAGTCAGTCATAATGGGCAGAATCAATATTCAGCTAAGCCAGCGCATAGAAATGTTAGATAGTTTCAAGCGACAGCAGAAGTCGCCGGGAAGAATAAAAATTTCCACCTAGACAAAGCTAAGAACAGATTCCCGTCCATTTGCAAACTGAGTTTCGAGGCTTAGATGGGTGGATCGCTCACCCAGAGGGACAGATGTGGGCTCTAGATTCAGATTGGGGAAAGATACTTTGAGCCTCGATTGCAGTAGCGGGAGGAAGTCGGGTATGATACCTTTTGTTCAACGACCCTGGCCACCTTCTCGAACAAAAACTATCTCGCTTGTGGCCGCCAAACCAACCCCCGCATCATGGTGACATTCTGTTCGTGGGGGTGGGCAAAACGGGAGATTGTTCATCTCAAGAGAAATATATGACACTGTCGTCACAAATATTTTATGGTCAAGGCGAAGGAGTGCAGCGCTCTAGTCGGTCCCCGTCTCACGTCGCCGGGTCAGGGTTTTATGCTCAAACAATATAGCCGACAGACCACTAGAAAATAGCGCCCGAGATATAAGTACGGAGTAGATAACGCTACAATGAGATCAATCAAGCCCTGCCGCTTCGGCGAACATAGCTCAGCTGGCAGGGGTCATGCGCTCACATATATTGAAAGGGGATTTTGGTAAAATGACGGGGGTTTAATTTTGCCGAAACGACTGTTGGGCGATAAGCGCGGCGTGGCATGACAACCACGCTCAAACATCTGAAAGTATGTTCCAGATAACTTCAAGCGTGGATGCACAATTACAGGCGAGAGCGGAATGGAAATTAGTAAATTGTATCTCAATCAACTTGGAATTAACCCAAGAAAACTATTGAATGTCGTTTTTGAAGGACCGCCAAACGATCTTGTGGAGGGAAGAATGAAGAAAGCGAACGTGTAACCCAGGAAGGATTAATTGATTAGTATTAATCCAAGACACGAAAAAATAGCATTTGTTAATCCATTAAGTGGACGAAGTTTTCCCAAGAAAAATAAATAAATAAATAAATAAAGTAGAAAAGAAAGAAATGATAGCCAAAACATCAGACATCAGAGCAGCCATCATGTTGATCCGTGGCATCGTTCAAACAGCTCCATGCAAGATATCAGCAAGAGTGCCACATATTTGGTTCGTCCTTTTCCTATATCCAGAAGCAATATTATTTGGGCAGTCACTTAGAAAGCAAATAATATGAAGAAAAACATCAAGTTGATTTTGGGGATATCCAAAAATATAATCGAAGTAATATATATGAAATCATTGAAATGAATTAGAGTGTTTCGAACAAAGTGATACATGCATCATGATCATTTTTTACGTCTTATGATCGTGGCGCACGAGACTTATATGACTCAGAATAGTAGGAATTAGGGGGTGAACGGCGCCTAGAGTCAGGGGTTGATTCAATGGCAAGGCGAGGCTTGCGTTCCTCATCGCTATGTTCACCATCATCTCGACGTCTACGGCGTTCATTGCGGTAGGCCTCGTATCTAGCTGCTATAGCGATTATAAGTATCACGGGCAGCCATGGGCAGCCATGTGCCAGATGCGGAAAAATAACTAACCTCTAATTTCTGCTGACTTTGCAGCAAACTCCTCAATCTCTTCTAATGTAAGGACCCTTAAAACAATTATATAATCAGGGCGTTCCTCGAAACGTTCTCCCTCCAGAGCGGCCGGAGTGACAAGTTTTCGATCTACTTTGGTCCAACGTGCACCTTTGGGAATACCCTTTTTCGTTGCATCTTTTAACGGAGCGACTCCCTCTCTTACAGTTGTACGGTCTTCGGGGAACTTATCCTTTGGGGGTTTCAGGATTCCCTTTGGAAGCTGTTCAGGTTCTTTGGGACGAGTTAATTCCACATGGTACGGTTTCCTTTGACGCTCATCGGAGATATCGACGGGGGTAGAGACGATGAAACCGTCTGAAAGAAGTCTCTCTGAGGGTCGATGGGATGGTTCCTCTAGTCGCCTTGGATCAAGGTTGTCATATTCGGAGTCATTGAGACGGTAAGTGCGGCGAGCTGCCGTAGGACCTTCCGAGTGGTCCTTTCGTGAATGTTCAGTGGCTGCATATCGGCGTCTTCTTTGATCCTTATCTGAGAGTTGCTCATCTGTATCTGTTTCATCTTCAGATTGTATTTTGGTTGGCTGGTCATGCTTGTGGCTTGACCTACCACCACAGGTTAGATCCCTGGCCTTTCTCCCATCGGCCCGAGTACCAAGATCATCATCGTACCCTTGGCGTAAATCCTTTGAGTAACCACCGGTTAGACTCGCTGTAGCAAGGCCGCTGGAGCCTGGTATGTCTTCGGTGCCTTTAATTTCAGTGTCTATCCGTGGAACTTGTCGGTACCGCATATCTTCACGGTGATTTCGGTGGTGGAAATCTTCGGTGATGGAAGGACTATCGTCGTAACGGCCTTCGTAACTCTGGAGTTCTCTCGAGTCGTCGTATTCGTGGTCTTTTGAGATTTTGTCTCTGTCCTGGTGAAGGGAGACAGGAACCTTGGTCCTCCGTCGAGGAATGTCAAATGAATGGGATGCTGCACCACCTATTCTGTTTTGAGATGGTGATCGAGGTATTTCTCCTCTGCTAATTTTATCGAACCCTCTCGTAGAAGGGGGTGGGCCGGAGTCTCTGGAGTCTATAGGAATATGAGGTAGGTAGCGTTCCAAGCCGGTTAAGCTTAAAGGTCTAGCTTTTCTTCTTTCGAAATTATCGCGTCGATAGTCTTGAGTAGCCTCAAAGTCCCTATAAAACTGCTCTGCGGGATTGGTATATGAATAGGAATCGCCTATGTCGATGCTCTGCGGCTTATTTATTGGGGTAGGAACTGGGTATGCTCTTCGCGGGCTCCTCCCGGCAACTAAATACCTTGCATTCTCCATACGAGCCGTTGCTTCCTTGTTGTCGTCAAGCGTTAATCGACCTTCTCGATCATCAGAACTAAATATCCGACGATGTCTTGAAGGCAAGGATGATGCAGGGACAAGATATCGCTCCGCGTCATTTGCTGCATAGTATGATGATGGCCTTGGAGGACGGCTACCATCGTACCCAGCAAATAACAGGTTTGATGGCGGCTTGGTGACGCCTAGAGGGTTACGACTAGAATCAGCGACGGACGATGTATTGCTCCTCGGCCGAACCGCATATTCGGTTCGCGAGGTGATTGGCTGATTCGTTAAGCGATATGCCTGAGATGAAATGGGGTGAGTGTCAATAGGACGGTCCTCATTAAGACGAGGAGATCGCCTGGGGTAGTAATAACTTCTATAATGCGAATCTAAGTTCCGATCTCCTGCGATACTGGATGAATAATATCCATCATAGGCAACCCTAGGGATATTGTATGGATCTATGTCCGAACCGACCACTATATTCCCAGTAGATGCTCTCATGGGATCAACAAAAGGTTTGCGGACCGGGGAGGGTTGTCGATGGCGAGAATAGCTCATGATTTAGGAAGTCCGTTTTACCGCGGGCACGTTCGTGTTGATCTTGGAAGGTTTTCTAGCCAAAAGTTTCAACGGAATGAGATGTCCTCCTTGTAATTTCCCAGGCCCCTTTTGGTAGACGTCAACTAAGCTGAACGACGCAATGAGGATCTTTCCAAGTTATAAAAAAATAAAATAAAAATAAGTTCAGAAGCTCATCGTAGGCACTCTGAATAGCAAAAGAAATTTCCTAGGAAAATGGAAACCGCGATGCGTAGAAGGTACTCGAAGGGAAAATCACTCAGAAGGGGGCCAACGATGTGGAAACCACAGTCCGAAATTTAGTGACTGTCGGACTCGACAGATAGAAGGCAAGCGGAATATGTGTGAAGTCGGTAAGAGAGCAGTATGTTTGGATGGATTTGTGCCCGATTAGAGGTTTTCGTAGGATGGAGGGACGACGTTTAACTAGGGGAAGATAAAGTGTCTAGATGATGCCTTGTTTTGCCAGATGAGTTGACCGGATCAATACAAAATTTATTGGCCAGGTCGGCGATGATGTGGACACGTAGTATATAATAATAGGCTACAAGGCCACGGTTTCAGAGTTATACACAATGCTGCTGAATGAATAAATGTATGAGGGGAGGTGGTGATATGCAATAATGGAGGGGCACTGCGGCATATATTTATAAGGGCGACTAGAATGGGGCTCCCGGGAAAGAAAAGTAGGTAAATCCCTCGGTTGACGCTGAAGATGAAGGTGCTTTGCGTCCGGATATGTACGGATTATATATATGTGGCGAGATGATAAATTGATAAATGGAGATGGGTGGAGGTTGTGTTAATCTGTTCTTGGAGGTCGGCTAGTGAGGTGCGGCTCTGCAACGCCTGTCTGTCACCTGTTCTGTGTTCCCCGCGGCCAGCAGCTGTTGTTCGTTGTTCTCTCTTTCCTCCGAAACAATTCCAAGATTACGAGCTACAATTTGGAAAATCCGTTTATCCCTACACGACTACAGGGCAACAAGGTAGTATTTAAGCATCACTCTTTCACCTGAGTGAAACTGGATCCGGCCTAGATAACTTAGCATTGGCGATTGTGAACACCCGTCAAATTCCCTGGTACTGTACCGCTCGGTCCGCTGCAACCATACGTCAAACTATGTCGACCCAAGGTTTGGTGAGGTCGCGCAAGCTTTGTGGTACTGTGATGGCTAATCTAGGTACGTCTTTGAAAACGATCTACGGAGTATTTGTTGGCTGAGAGGCTAAGGATTATTCGGAGCGTGGGATCAAGAATCAAGATTGAAACGGACCAACTGGTGGTTGGTATTGGTTGAAACTGGTTAGATTGTCACCTTTCCTCTGGTGGCGGTTGGTCACCAACTACAAAAACGTGTCTTTTCGCTACTCCCTCCTTCTGCGCTACTCGACGTCAATCAGACCCTGGTTGGCTGGGATATTGTGTCCAGTAATTGGGTTTATGTTCGATCTCGTGATATTTCGAAGTTCCAGTTTAAGATCTCTCACTGAGAAGGGTAGTACAGGAGGCCTCGAGAATAACCAAATCTCCTGGTAGCATGTACAACCATGAGGCGTCATGTTTCAACATCCAGCGACTGTTGCACGATTAGAGTAATAGCAAAATCTAGCATGAACTGTTGCTCCCCGTGGAAGATCTCATATCTTGTGGCATCTTTTTGCCTCAAGATCCAATACATCCACCTAGATCGTCCAGGAATACCAGAGCTTTAATGAGAAATGAGAAAAGAGAAAGCAAAAGCAAAAACGCCTAAAAAGGCAAGGAACTAACGAGCGGTAATTATTCCCGGGGCTATTAGGCGGGCTGCAATCGTGACTAAGAATTGGTTTTTCATATAATTGTTCCAGGCAACGTCGTTAGGCAAACCATTTTAATAATGCGAACCAATTCTTGTCTTCAACCATTTGCATGGATGTGCTGCCCGGTAAACAAACCAGTTTCCACAGAGCACAGTGGTCAAATTGACGATGATATTGCCAATGGCAACGAAATCCGATGCTCAAGTCCCGGTGGGTGCGGGAGAACTCGTCTCATCCGAAGCTCCCCGCGGGGACCACGGGAGATGAATCCGATGACGTGATGGTTCATAAGCCTTTACACTGAAAAAACAATGAAAAAAGCCATTTGACACATTTGTCACTATAGACTGCCGTAACTAGTTCACCGCGACCTAGCTAGCCCTGCTTAAAGTAACGACCACATAAGAGCCTCACCACCTATCTATCGTCATTCCCACGAAAGCGATTTCGGCAGCAGAGGCCATGGCCCACATAATTAACTAGCGGGATCGCAAGCCCGACAGTCACAGTCTTGTAGAACCTACAGCTCATTGAATTTCGAATCCCATATTGCCTCACTATTCGCTGGGGGATTGCCCCAGCGACTTCTTTCTTTCTCACTGTGATGTGGCTTTGCACTCCCGTTTTCAAAACGAGGCTTCGCTTTCATTGATAGAATAGTTGCTGAGTCTCCTCATGTGAGGCCAAGACTATCTGAACGAGTCCTCTCCGCCGTTGGTCTTCGTCACTGTCCGCTACCCAAACGATTGGGCGCGATTTCTGATGGGGAGCGTCGGAAATGATGCCTCTGAAGTCCAAGGCCCTTGTGACGAAGGGCATCAGGTGGAACTCTGTACTTAGTGCTGCCCGCTTGTCTACTTCGCGATGGCCTCTGCAAGGGGTGCATTTGAATATTCAGAGTCTCTTCTTCCGTCGCTTTGCTATGTTCTTCATGGCTTGCCCCGTGCAGGTTATTGGCGTGATAAATGCCAATGACATCAATGCGCAGAAGCTGACTATTGTTGTCCTAGGTCGCATTGTCGACTGCGGATAATCAACTTTCGGTCAGATTGATATAACCTACCTGAGGGCTAGCATACCCCGTTTTGCGGACATATCCGAGTTTCCTACAGATGCCTCGAAATCAGTGGTCCATTAGTCGTCGTTGTCGAGACTGTCGTTTGACATCCTCATTTTACAAGAACTGCCTGCCATCTGGGGTTGAATCATTTTCCGGGTTTGGGAAGAAATAGCCACTAAGTTTCTTGCTCCAACCTGCAGTCTTCTGGCTATTTCCGGAAGGTTTTATTCTCCTTTCCTGAGCTGATGACGAAAGTTGGGCGGTTAGTCTGATTCTAACCTCCCCGCGGTCAAATGAAGTCGTTCCGCCCATCTCTCGTTACTTTCTGCCTGATAGAGCTGGGATTGAACATCCCCGTTCAATGATCTCCTTTGGGCTTGCTGTGTCTCATAATCTCAAGCACTTACCGAGTCATCACCTCTGGTTCGTAGCATTGCAATCTGTCACCGCCCCATCTCGTTTGCCTTTCCATTAAAGCTCCTTGGAATTGCCTTTACGATAGTGGCCGCGCCCTGTTCCTTCTATTTGCTTCACTGTAATTAATTCTCCTGAAGTCTATATAAAGCGGCCGGTATCGTTGTTCGATGTGATCATTGAAACCAATTTTACTTCTCTCAGATCGCTCTCAATCCCTTTCAAGATTATATTTTTTTCGATAATCTTGATAATTTTCTTCCTTTTACCAGTGTAAGGCTTCAATTCAATCACACCTACCATAAATATATCCTTTCTCCTTCCTACCTCTCAAAATGGTTCGGGTTTACGACGACACTTGGACATGCTGTAATTGCGATGGACTCAACCTTATCGCCAATGCACCTAGCAAATGTCCAGTGTGTTCGCATGCAAAATGCTCATCCTGTACCGACAGCGGAAACGCGCGGTGCGTCCCGGTTTGTACTACTAGAGTTCGGGAGGCTCAAAACACATCACGCCTAGGTTGGCCTCTCGACGAATTTCTGACATTGATCCCACGCCCTATGTCTACCGGTGACCCGGCTTCCCACGCTGCTCTTGACAATGCAGTTACTCGAGCGAACTTCACAGTTATGAAATGCGACGTGCACCTAGCGGGTTGCCCCGAACTGTTTGCACGGCCCCCAATGAGAGGTTGGTGGTATTGCCATGTTTCTGGGAACGAACATTTGAACAACCCCGATTTGTCCCCCGAGGCCTGCAGTGAGTGTGGGCATATAAAGTGCTCTTGGTGCATTGTCGAAGAGTAATCCATCTGAGGAAATACCTCGCGCATTTACAGGATGTACCATTACGTTTTGCTGCTCCCTTCGCATGGGCTTCTCGCCTGGAGTTTCGGTTGTTATCGGGCATAGCGTCGCGCTGGAAAAAACATTCCGTTTGCAAGGCACTTTCACCAGGCCGTATCCCTATGTTTTTTGTATTGATTCCTCATTCGACCTGGTTATAGATTTGTCTTTCATCCTTTCCTTCGTGTCTGCTTTCTAAGGTTTCCCGATGGTTCTGTTTTACTAGGTTCGTTCTCCTTGACTTTTATTTCTACCCACCATTATATCCTTACCCGATTTCATTCTGCCTGTCATTCGTTCATTTCCAAGCACATCCCTCCGTTACCATTATCCTTACCCATGCTTCTGCTTTGCTTTCTATCTGTTCTGTAACATCAGCTTCCCTTGTTTCTGCTATGCACTTAATAGTTTCCATAGATAATTCTCTTATGTTACTTCCCTGTTTTATACCACAATAAATTGCTGGAGCGAGCCTTAGTTGTTACTCGCATCTATCACTCACTACCTTGTGATCTCGTTTTAAAGCATTTCGTGTTCATTCCCTTTCTCCCCCTCCCCCCCCCCCCGGTGGCTGCTGCGTCCTGGGCGTTAATATTTATTTCCATTCCCAACGGCAGTTTTGACATTAGCTCAATCGTTCAATGTACTTGGTTATCCATACTTCACCTCTCAACATATCTTTCGCTATTTTTAATTAGTAAAAGTCTATTAAAATTGTTGGACTGAAGTTAGCTTACGTAGCTAGTTACTATGACGAGTCCATAAATGTGTATTGAGGGAGCCTTCTTATGAGTACGGTATATGTATGGTACATACAAGGGATCCATTTTCCTTACGGCTGATTATGTCCTTAGGCTGCTGTTTTTTATTGTTAAAACCGCAAGCAAGGGGGGTCGAAATAAGCTTTCTAGCCGTGCGTTGCACGTCCACATTTCAATATTAGTGGAACGAAAGGAAACCTACCCTGTCGTTTGGTTGGTTCAACTGGTTCCCAGGCGGCCGATAAGCGCCGGAATATTGTGTGGACGGCGCAAAACCGACTAGTCTACTTCATATTGGGTAGCTGAGTGGCCATAATAATGGGCGGATGTTCTTTATTAATATAAGAGTTAAGGCATGTGCAGAACTAACATATCTATTTTCAAAGGAAGGGGTGTACTCGAGTTGTGTAAAGAAGAGATAAGAAGAAGGCTCCACACCGTGTCGAAAAGGGTGACGTGTGGGGTGGTGTTTTAGTCGGGACTAGTAGAAAATCCGGACCAATAGGGCGACTTTGTATGTAAATTTGCCCGGAAAGGGAAGAATCATAAGGATAGGGAACGGTTGCTGAAAGAACCGAAAGACAAATTACAGGTAGAGTATTAAAAAATTAAAATAAAGTATTAATAGTAGTGGCAAGCATCAGCATTGAGAATCTGATGCTGTTGTGGTGCTGGCACGAAGGATTGCAGATTCATTTATTTCTAGATGAATCACTTCGATGTGGCTCGTGGCTGTGGTTCCTGCCGTGGGTGTTTGGTGGCTTTTGGATATCTCGTGATCTTTGCTCGCGTTTTCGTCGCTTTTGTGAATAGGGCATTTTGGAACTGTTGCTGGGTTTTCTATTATTTCCTCGACCTCTATTCCGTTGCGTTGTATCATGAGAAGTAAAATCTCCGCCACTGTTGCAGCTTTCTAGACCAGCTTCACGCCTGAGTCGTTGAACAACAGGACCCAGGCGGAAGGCACTTTCTTGGCTGCTATGGTCAGTGCAGGGAGAATTTTTCAATGGCGAAAACCAGTCTAGAAAAGAATATCCCATAACTTCTTTAAGGTTTGCCAACGGGCTGCCCAAGTCCCAAGGGTTCTCTCCTGGCTTTGTATGTAGGATAGCGAAGTCTCGTTGCAGCAGGTTGGAACCACCTACGTCAGATGTGTTTTGCAGAGGAGAGCATGTTCCAAACGGCAAAGAGAACGAAACTATAGGAAATGGCGGAGCGGCTTGGGATTCTGTGCCGTCTCTGTTAAATTTCAGCGAAGTTGGGATCAAAATAGCAAGGGTCCACACTTTCGTGCGTCGATCAAGATTTTCGATGGTAGACGAGTTTAGGCATGCGAGTTGGATGGAACTTCCCAGCATCCCCAACGAGAAAAGGCAGAACAGGGCGCTCCTGGAGAGGAATTAAAAATCAATCCATTCCTTATCTGTCAGTTGAAAAATGTGAACTCACATTCCTAGAACCACAACCCAATGGACAATGACTTTTCCAGTCTACCTATGCATTAGCCATACTCATTTTCACTAACAACTCGCCATATTATCGAAAAGGGAATTGGCGCATAGATGATAATTCATTGTGAAAATCACAGCACGGAAGAAGTATATGTAAAAAGAATATTCGAAACAACATACCTCTTTGCGGTGTTCTGCTACAAATATAGCAAACACAACCAAAATTAATGCTGTAAAAAGAAACGTATAAAAAAGGAACTGGATAAAAAATTTAAAGGACGTCTCGCTGACCACTCCACCGACCCTTAAGGATCTAAGTCAGCATCAATTGGACTTCAAGTTGAAAATGCTGAGGGTTTCCTCACCAAGGGCAGAAATGGTCCATTTTTCTTATGCATCGACCTACTTCCCGGCAATGATGAGCCCTGTCGGATTTAAATTGGTAGCAAGTAGAGCACCACGCTGGTCTACCATCTTCCTTGCAGACAAATACGTCCTTCAAGTAGAAGGCTTCAAGTCCAGAAGCATCGACAGGGTAAGAGCTTTTTTCGGCGGGTCTTCTAAATATTGTCCCAAGGCCATGCCATTCATCATCGCCGTTGCTTTTGTCTGAAGTTGGCCTCCTTCGTCCTCGATATTTGCTCATCCTTTTGTTTGCCTCCGTTTCCACCTGAGACTCGATGTATTGCGGTCCTCGAGGTATGTAGTCAGGATTCCATATAAGGGTAACTAGTAATCGTAGGTATGACACAAGAAGTACTATCAGCAGGATATAGAAAGCAACCAATAATCCAATTGCCGTTCCCTTTCTTCGTGATGACGTAGTGGGGTCTAACAGATAATCGACTTTTAGGAATTAGCTATTTGTCTCTGGTGGAGATCAAGGGAGAGAAGACAACAGCAAAAACATACTACATAATGACTTTGTAAACGTCCAGCTAGTATATATAATGATGAGACCAAGAAACACTGGGACCACGCGAGAAACTGCGAGATTTGCAGCTTTCTGATCACAGCCCATGAGATGAAGCGGCCTAAAAAGGATAACTCCGTCAAGAGAATGGCCTATAAACTGTAGTTAAAGCTGTAGCATATAGGGTTGAAGCAGCCAAAATATGGTTAAAGAGCAAATGAGCAATAGTTAGTGGTGATGGTGGTGTTCGAGAATCATAATTCGAAGCCACCCAATTCTTAAGATAGAACTTCCGGAGCACTGGCAGCTTAGTAACCAGCGCCAGTAGTACGGCAGCCTATAAGTGACATATGGGTCAATGTATTTCAGTGTAAAAGCTTAATTCCACATTAATAATTCTACTCACCATACGGTACACACACACCACACACACCAATTAGTTATCTTGACTTTCAGACTAAGACTACCCCACGGGCCACAGATCTCTCATCATTCTCAGGACCGGTCCCCTCTGAGTATAGAGCCCCCAGGTATAGAGTCCTAAAGTATAGAGATTCCTAGATATAGAGTGCCCCTGAGATAGAGACTCTCAGATATCAGGTATAGAGACTTTCTGAGCATAGAGTCTGAGAGATAGAGATCTCAGACTCTCAGAGTATGTAGACCCTCAGATCTAGAGCCCTCTTTCAATATGAATCTCTATTTCATTCAATAACATCAATGAGAAGATCTCAATTACTATTACTCTGTACAGAGGAAGAATTTAAGATGCAACTTTAAATTATTAGTGCTAATCAAAACTTTTGACAGGATCCTCCAATAATACAAACAGTACAGTACTATTCTATTGATGTGTGCTCATTGTAACACTAGTAACTAGTATAAAATACCTGTTTGACCCAAATGTCACTATAGGCTGCCGTACTTGGGCTGGAACCGCCAAAACTGAGTGGGAGCTGGACAACATCTATCTAGGAAGTGACCCACGGATATAATTTGCCATTTTTATACTAGATTTCCTCTCTGCAATATATCAAAGCCTATTAACACTTATGTGGAACTCTTGAACTTATTTCAAGCTGTTTTCCTGAATGCTAGCAAATTTCCAAAAGCCCCATTTGATCGTCTAAATCACGTGTTCAAGTTCTGCTTCCCCACCATCTAGAGCAACATCACCAACCAACCACCCAACCACCAGCAATCACTGAATCAACCCCTCCTCCATTTTATTCCTAATTTGAGCTTTCTTATAACTACGGAACAGGCCTTAAAAAGCTTGCGTATGTTCAAAAATTGTTGTTTCTAAATCACGTTTCTATCTTGCGATTGATGGGCTACGCGGGACGAAGGTGTTATGATGCGTCATGCTCCTCCTGAGTGCATTTTGGAAACGGCCTCCTAGGCTATAATGATGGGAGGGCCGAGTTAGGCATTACGATTGACTCGAAGTGTTATTTGAGCTTGGAGCGACTGATGACTATAGAACCAGGCTGCAAGGCTGGATCAAGCCCTTTTCAGCCTCGTTGCCATTCTGGTTTCTTGCCCACTCTTTCTGAGGATAGGGCGGGAATTTGCCCCCGTCTGACGAAATTGTGCAAATATTAATTTAAGCCTTTGACAAACCATCTTGTCACCGGCGTTTCTTTTCGGTTCCAATGCCCTGGCCGCTTTGCCTCGTTGTTTGTTGCATGGACGAACATTGTTTCTAGCGAGATTGCGATGATGTGATGGGTCGGGCTCAGTCGCCAGCTTATGATCATGTCCGAGTGCTACGAGATTGAACAATCTTAGCGCGCTGCGAAGGTGCTTGCTGTTTCTCACCTTCTCGCCCCTCTTTTTTTTTTTTTTTTTTTTTTTTTTTTTTTTTTTTTTTTTTTTTTGCATTTGCATTTGCATTTGCATTTGCATTTGCATTTGCATTTGAAATACATTTCGCTCCAAACTTGGTTCATTTCGGTTGAGGCAAGTCCACCCTTCCTCTGCATGGTTTTTCACTAGCCACACATGAAACCAATGCTTGATTGCCAATTTTCGTCCCGGAGCGCAGCCAGATGCCTCCCTCGTGTGGCTGTGCTATATCCTCGAACGTCTTGGGACACCGTCAGATTGTGAACTCCTCCGGCTTTGGACTTCGCTGTGTATTACTCGGCGCCACGGAGCCTTGAAATTAGAAACATCTAAATTCCGGGTCCAATAGTTCCTTCCTTTCACGGTTTACCCAAATTTGACTTCGATGGTTTTTGAAATACTTAGGTTTTGTTGTCCAATGAAGTGGTGTTGGGCAAAAAGAATTTCCAGACCTGGATTCTGCTGCCTTCATGATATTAATATTTTATCCCCTCCGTTATAGTGCTGTTTTCTATTAGCAAAATGAACCATGCATCTTGAGATCGATGATCATTTTCTACTCCATCTCCATTGTCTGCCACATACACATTCCTTCGCGTTCCTTGAATAATTCAGGTTCCGATATTCACACGCGTCAAACGGCTTGAAATGTCCACTGTAAGTGCATCGAACTCCCCCCAACAGATCAACTTTTGAGTTAACATATTACATTTCTAGCCTCATAAAAGAACCGGATATCAACAATCCGAAAATGGCATTCTGCAAAGCGGCATGTATGCTTGTCCTTCAGCCTATCTCGTTTATCCACCAGATCCTACCGGTCGCCGTCCTAGCCAGCACGCCCTATTACAATACGTTTCTCCCGAAGACCGTAGAAACCACGATAATCTTCGTTTGATTCAAGAACAGCTGTACAACGATGCCAATTCCTCAAGAAACACCCAGCGCTCCGGAGGAGCTAACGAAGGGTATCGGACTATTTTAAATGAGCCTTCAGGCCCAAAAGGTCATTATCCTGAAAAGCGGACTGAAAAACACCGGTGCAAAGATTCTCAAGCCGGGAAATCCAACGACAAGACGCCCGAGAAGAAGAAATGAAAGGTCCGTTATCCTAAACTTTAGCACGGTTTGCCTATGGGCCTGTTTCCAAAACTACTCTTCACATGGGTCTTATTCTTCGCTCTATCCACACCGAGATGGTCCGAGTGCAGTGAAATGCTCGTTCAAGAGTCGCCAAAGTAGCCCTGTTCGCCTGTCTTAACAAACACACTCCTTGGACTTCGATGCTATTTCATTTTTTTACTATATTGATACCCATCGATTAATTTTTGGTGTACTCTTTCACTTTTCGTTTTTTACAATTTTTGCGTCTTCCTCTTTTGAGAGCTTGCATGTCATGACTTTGGATTTTTATTCTTTCTGTTACTGAAATTTTAACGGGTAATGATAAAGAAAATCTCATCAAACCTCTTGTTTGCCGATGAAATTACTAGTAGAGTGTGTTTCGCCCTCCTCGAAGGCGTTTTGTAATTGTTTTTGGCTGATTATTTTCTCTTTTTATTTGCACACGCGAATCTCTGAAATTTTCAAACCTGTTCTGCTGTATGTATTATTGAGTTTTGTTCAAAACTCCTTGCGAAATGTGTTTTTCTTTAGCCTGCTGTGGTTTTCAGAGTTACTCCTGAAGAGTTGATTCACCAGGATAAGGCTGCCTAGATTGGTGCAGGCTGGAATACGCCGATGTCAAAATTTCAACAGAAGGTACTCATACCAAATGCATGTTGCCTGAAATAATTCGACTCCGGTCTCAGATTGAAAATCGGCTTCTCCAAACTGACGTATTGCCATTTCGGCAATCCTTAACTGAGGGATTTTGAGGCAACGGGATTTCTCTCCGCCATGGCACGGAATGTCTTCTGGGACTCGACTCGTGCACCCGGTCAGCCTTAACCAAGTCCCTGGGGCGCAACCCTGTCCTCCAAGGCCACCAACCTTGGCGTACCGCCCGGGCCAATCAGATGACTCCACCACTAGGTGGGGCCTTGCCTATCTCCCGACTGACTCAATTACGCTATGCACAGAGCGTACTCCTATCAGTCATTGCAATTACATGGTTTAGAGGATCTACAACAGCCCAGTGCGTTAAGACATTTATGGCTTGGAATGTTTTGGGCGCCGGCTCCTTCTGATCTCCTCGGCATTGTGGGCTAAACGTGACCTACATGGCGGGGCGATGCACTGGCCTAGAATTGCCCTTCTGCTACGAGCCCTGACTGGAAGACTAGCTTGTTCTTCAGGCATACATGGCAGGTCATTCCGACATGTCTTTCCCGCTGCCTTGTCCATGCTTAAATATGCCGTCGTTCCCCTGAATTCATCTCCATTTCCTTTCCTTTTCTTTTCTTCATAACATTCTCAATGATTCCTCTTTACTACCTACATACCCACCGAGAAAGCCCACAAACAAATATATCTTCTCGAATCCTCATATTTCAAACTCGACCGCCTCTTCAAATTAATAGCCATGCCATACGCAACGCACTGGATTTGCGGAAACTGCAATTTCGGACCGATGATGATCTCAAACTACCCTTCTTGCATCAGTTGTAGCCATCAGCCATGCTCCTGCTGCACATACGACACCGTTGACGGCTCAACCCTGCGAACTGAAAGCCTCTCCTCGTCCGGAAACCTCAGAACATTGGACCACATGCCCTCCACCGATTGCCACCTTAATACCTATACAAACCCTTCCCTTCCACTACCGGGCGCCACTAGAGAGATGTTAGAAGACCTGCAAGCCTCGATTATCAACCGCGCTACAGACCTCTACATCTGCTGCTCATGCGGAGATGGCCCCAAGGTATACCAGAACCAGGGCCGCTGCGTAAATTGCGACCATGATGTTTGTGGGTACTGCACGCATATCAAGTAACTATTTCTATCACGAAGATGGCTTTAATCCAGAAGGTACTTTATCCCATGTCTAAATCTGGGAAACTTCAAATTCTGACTGCTTTGGCTTGACAGAAGTTATTGTTGGCAGGCCCGACATACCTTTCGATTTGTTTGCATTTTAGCGGGCATGTCCAGCGATTTTTGTTATATTTAGCGCTTGAGCATGCGATTTGTATTTTGTATTTTGGATATGTATAATGACTGGATTTCTGTTTTTGTTGTTCTTTTATTGTATGCTGTTTGTTATTCATTTTTCTATTCAACTGCAGTGTTGTTCTTTCAATGTTTGCATTTTGCTTTTTTAATGTCGCTGTTTAGCCGCATAGGGTAGGGTTGCATTTGCGGCCGGGACTTTTCAGAGATTACTTTTGAGCTTTATTTTTCGGGTTTTGTATTTTAGATCATTGGCATCGGAGCTTTCACTCTAGAGGCATCAATTGAAGCGGTTTTGCAGTTAAGAAATTACTCAAGTCTTCTTCTGCCTTTATATTTAGGCAGGAGTCAGCCCCAGAATGCCTTGCAGGCTAGCCTAGCCCCGTTAAGTTAGCGGCTTATCCATGTCCGGTGGAGCTTGAGCCCAGTCATCAGAGTTAAACGTGAGGGAACAGACCACGGCTAAAGAAACCACATCCCAAAACAATAATATGAGCCTTCTGG